AAGCTACTGGTCTCATTAATCATTGCTAAAAGATTTATCGAAACCAATGTTTTTTGATTAGCAATCAATATAAAAAAATACATTGATTGTCTAAATAAGCAGTTATTACCTTCTCTAATTAAAAAAGTAAAGAATAGTTGTCCTGACTTTAGCTAGTTTATGATGTTATTAAATTTCTTGGTGCTAATTGTTTTATATATAATATATGGGTATATAAAAATGAACTCTAAGAATAATTTTGGTAATAAATCTGTTGGTTGTCATTTGCACTTTTTATTTATTCATATGTCAGTTCCGAAAAATTTTTCCGCTAATGTATGGGATTCGAATTGTATTCCAGTATTTCAGAAAATCGCTACCGTATTTGATCAATGTGTAAATGAATGACTATGTCATCAGTTAGGACTTCAAAGTTGACTATTTTGTCAGTTATTTCAAAGTTAGATTTGGTTTAAGGCTCTGAAGCGCACTACGTAACATGAAAGCGAATTAATAGAATTAATAAAAAACATAAAATTTCGTAAAGTTTATAGCAAATTCCAGAAAAAATTAAAAGAAGATATATCTAATATACGCAATTGTAATCTTACCTACACTTTTGCAGATAAAACATCTAATTTATATAACTTATCTAAAAAAGACTACAATCATTTATTAACCAATGCCGTAACTTCAACTTACAAAAAATCGGATCCTAAATTAAAAAATGATATAAATAAAGAAGGGAAACGCATTTTACAGAATCATGAAATTTTTAATAAAATCGATATCAACACATCATCTAACTGCTATATAACATTAAAAGACCATAAAGAAAATTTTGCAAACAACCCAACAGTTCGATTAATAAACCCTGCCAAAAATGAAATCGGCAGAATTAGTAAAGTTATTCTTTCAAACATAAATTCTGAACTTGTAAAAAGACTCTATCTCAATCAGTGGAAAAAAACACAAGATGTAATATGCTGGTTCAAGTCTATCAGTGATCCAAACCTTTATAAGTTTCTCATTTTTGATATCGTTGATTTTTATCCCTCAATAAGTGAAAAACTACTTAAAAATGCTATTAGTTTTGCTGAGCAGTGTCTGGTTATAGATCCTGAGCAAAAATCGATTATTTACCACGCCAGAAAGTCACTGTTGTTTGATAGCAATCAAGTTTGGATTAAGAAGTCAAGCGGATTATTCGATGTTTCGATGGGAGCATTTGATGGCGCCGAAGTTTGTGAACTTGTGGGGATTTTTCTTTTATTTCAGATTACACAGTTTTACAATAAGAATGATTTCAGGTTAAACCGTGATGACGGTTTGGCGATTTTTAAAAACATCAGTGGTCCCCATATGGAAAAAATTAAAAAACATGTTGTTAAAATATTCAAATCGAACAATCTTCTGATATCAACACAGTGCAACATAAAAATCGTAAATTATCTGGACATTACATTAAACCTCAACAACCACACCTACCAACCTTACTCTAAACCCGGAAACTCTTTAAATTACATTCATGCTGAATCAAACCACCCATCTAGTATTTTAAAGCAACTCCCACATTCTATTGAATTAAGATTATCAGCAAATTCATCAAGCGAGGAAATCTTTCAAAAATCCACTCCAATGTATAATGAAGCATTAAAAAAGTTCGGTTTTAATTACAATCTTTCTTACCAACCTAACTTAATATTATCTCACACTTAGAACCGTAAACGTAACATCATTTGGTTTAACCCGCCTTTTAGCAAAAACCTCAGCACGAATATAGGAAAAATATTTTTAACATTAATTGATAAGCACTTCCCTAAAAATCACAAGTTGCACAAAATTTTTAACAGAAACACATTAAAAGTAAGTTATAGCTGTATGCCTAATATGAAATCCGTTTTAAACGCCCACAATCGCCATGTTATAAGCAACAAGAAAGAATCAGCTGAAAATAATTGCAATTGCATAAATAAAAACACCTGCCCTTTATCAAACCAATGCTTAACAAAAAATATAGTATATCAAGCTAATGTATGCTCAAACAATCTTGTTCAATCTCCAATCAATAAATTTTACATTGGCATAAGCGAAACATCTTTTAAAATTAGATATGCTAATCACATTAAATCTTTTAAAATTTCCAAATACAAAAATGACACTGAATTATCAAAAGAGGTTTGGAGAAAACTTAAACCCGGTTGTTAGGTGGAAAATAATTAAACAGTGCGATGCCTATAACCCTGTAACAAAACGATGTAACTTATGCTTAAACGAAAAGTACGAAATTTTATTTTTAAACACTCAAATTTGTTAAATAAAAAGAGTGAAATATTATCTAAGTGCCGGCATAAAAACAAATTTCTTCTTGCCCAATTTGACACTGGTGATTAGCAGTTTTACAACTATGCTTCTTTTTTATTCGTTTTTATTCGTTTTTTTATTCGTTTTGTTTTGACGTCGGAACTCATTCTACTGCTTTTTTTGTATTTTGTATTTTTTAACGGTTTTTTCTTGATTTGTATAATATATATGGCTGAAGATTGCCGATAGGCATGAAACTTTTAGTTCCATTATAAAGTTGTATTTTTCTATTTAATTACACTTT